TTCTGCTTTCTGGCTGAATAAAACTCCATTGTGTATGTATACCACATTTTCATTATCCATTCATGTGCTGATGGACATCTAAGCTGGTTCGACAGTTTGGCTATTGTGAATTGTGCTGCTATACACAGGGATATGGATGTATCACTATAGTATGATGACTAATTCTTTCGGATAAACACTGAGAGTGGCATAAGGTAGTCCTATGGTCAGACTGGTTCCATGCCTAGTTTTTTGAGGAAACTCCACACTGATTTCCATAGTGGCTGTACTAATTTACAATCCCACCAACAGTGTAGTGTTCCTTTTACTCCACATCCTCTCTAGAATTTATTGTTGTTTGTGTTCTTGATGTCTGCCATTCTGACTGCTATGAAATGAAGTCACAGTGTAGTTTTGATTTACATTTCCCTAATTGCTAACGATGTTGAACAGTTTTTCATATATCTGTTGGCCATTTGTATTTCTTCTTTTGAGAAATGTCTGTTTGATTCATTTGCCCATTTATTAATTTGAGTCTTTTTTTTTGGTGTTAAGTTTTCAGTCCTTTATATATTCTGGATATTAATCTTCTGTCAGAAGAGTAGCTAGCAAAGATTTTCTCCCATTCTGTAAGTTCTCTTTTCATATTCTTATTTACTAAGCTGGTAGAATCTTTTTAATCTGATGTCATTCCATGTATTAACTCTTGGCATCATTTCCTGAGCTTTAGGGGTCCTACTGAGGAAGTCATTGCCTGTGCCTATATGCTGGAGTGTTGACCCTATGCTTTCTTCTAGGAGTTGCATAGTTTCTGGTCTGATTCCAAGGCCTTTGATCCATTTTGAGTTGATTTCTGTTCAGAATGAAAGATAAGGGTCTCTGACTCATGTTTTTTTAATGTTCAGAGAAATTATAATGGCAGAAGTAGTTTATGAGTTCAGCCTTGAAAGAGTTAGGTTTTCAGAAAGAGAGAGAGAGTGTGAGCTTTCTAGGCAACAGAAATGCATGGACAAAGGCAAAATGTTTTGGGAATGAAGTTCAGATTGTACTGACACAAGACTGAGAGAATGATGAAGTAAAGGCTGATGCTGAGCCTAGGATGCCAGATCCTGACTTTAGGCCAAGGAGTCCACTTAACGGGTACAGAAAAGCACTAAGGGTTTGAGTCTCAGCTCCAACGTTTATTGGTTGACAAGTGAACATAAGCTTAACTTTCCCTAGCCTCATCTGGAGACTAAGGGTCTAGTAGCACCTTCTTTGATGTCACTCTCAAGATTGAATGTAGTAATACAAATTCACATTTAGGCTAGCATCTAGCACATGAAAGTTCAGCGGCCGTTGCTGCTGTTATTATGAACTATATAAGCCACCCAATAATTTTTAAATAATATTTTAGTACTTAAGGAATTTATCTGATCATGCATGCCATGAAGGAGAGAAAGGTATGAAAAATCCTACTATAGGCAATGTCAGAGCAGAGCAAAGTCCCTAAGAGGCAGAACTAAGATACAGATAGGGTAGAAAAGAAGCCATGTGCAAGACACTGACCTGAATGTGATCTCAATAGTAGTAACTGGAAAGTCTAGAAAGAAGTTTCCAGACAGGGCCAGAAAGCTGACAAATAAGTAGATGCAGATAGAAAAGAAATTTGCAGGGAACAAAAACAACTGACAATTAAGGCTCTTAAGAACTTCCATCTTCCTTAGTGTCTCACACCCCCCCTTCACCTTCCATGGGCATTCTATGCCAGCCCTCCCTGGAGCACTCCGGAAATGGAAATGACAAATCAGAAACCACAGTACTGCTGAGAAGCACATTATAAATAAAAATGGATTATCCAGACCTTGGTACAAGGAAAAACATTGTACTAACCCCCAAAGTTGGAATGAAGTAGAAGGAAAAGGGATCTCTACTTCCTTCCCCATACCCTCTTTTGCCATTAGCCCTTTGGGTGGTAACCATGACACTCTTTCCCAACTTCTCTACACCCTCAGTTTCAACATAAGAGCAGAAAACACTAAAATGCTTCTATTTTACTAAAAGGCTGCTACAGAATTAATGGTCTCTAACTGTTCTCCATATGGGAAATGAGAGACTAGCTGGCTTTCCAATACTTCCCCTAAAGGGTAAAAAGCACCACTGTTCAGAATTCATTTACCACAGTGGGTAAAAGCAATCTGATTTCTCTTTAGATTAGGTGAAAGGAAGATTTCCTTTCCTCCCTATTAAAAGCCTCCAATCTACCAGGCCCACAAACCATACACTTAACCACAAAAATCAATGGCAGTAAGAATCTCAACAACTCAGAAAACAGTACACCTAGACATTTGATATTGCCACCAGAAAGTTTACAGCCCAACTTCAGACAGCTTTAATACAATTTATCACTGGGCTCTATGAGTATGAGTTAACATCCAATTAAACAGTAGGACAAGAGACATAATAATTTAGTGGAAAGAGCTAAGGGATTAGAGTCCAAAAAACTAATAAAATCTAGCTCAGCAATTTAGTATTGACCTTGGGCAAATTCCTGAACCTAGCTTCAATTTCTTCACCTAAAAAACAGAGATAATATCACAACACTGTCTATGAAGATGATGATTAAATGTGATAATATAGCCTATGGCAGCCGGGTAGTATCTGGCCTACAACATAACTATTAGTTATTATTGAAAATATAGCTCAAAGATAAAAGAACAAATATTTTGGCTGACAATAGCTTTTGTTACAAATAAAGCTAAATGCCATAAATAAATAAATAAATAGCTAAATGCCTATTGACTGTAATGGTGGAAACCATATTTTAGTTTTCTTGGAAGTGGCCCAGCACAACAAAGAGAAAATAAATAGGCTAGAATCCTGGTTCTGCCTGGATGATTTTGGGAAAATTGGTTAACTTGATGAAGCCTTAATTTTCCATCTGGTTCAAAATATACTACTATGAATCCTGCTGATTGTAAATAAAATCATATAGTACTAATTACATTAATAATAGTAATAATAATAGAGGAGAGTTCAGTAATGTAGAGCAAGTAGATCAGGGGAGGGAGGAGGAGAAGAAAAGGGAAGGTATTGGGAAATGAGGATCAAAACATGTTAAATGCATATATGAATATGGCATGAGACTCACTATTATGTGTGATTGTAATGCATCAATAAAAAATACCTAGCTAATAAGACTACTGTAATGTTTAATGAGATAATCTACACAAAGTTCCTAGCATATGAATCTTGGAAGTTAGCTACTATTGCTCTTCAACAGTAGTTACTGCTATTTGTTAATTTTCCCAACAGAAAAAAAAGAGAATCACCATCAGCTAAGAAATCACCTTTTCTCATATTTACAGAGAAATTTTCACTTATTCATTCCATAAAAATGTACTGGAAACCCGTGTGTCAGGCAGTGTTCTTGACATTGAGGATTAAGTAATGAACAAGACTGACAAGGTCTCTGCTTTCCTGGAACTTACATTCTCAAAAGGGAAGGCAGTAAACAAACCAAGATCATTTCGGTGAGAGAGAGAGAGAGAGAGAGAGAGAGAGAGAGAGAGAGAGGGAGGGAATAGCAAACAGGGTGGCTTGGAGTTGGTGGAGGAGAAGGTCATTTAGCCTGGATGCACTGCAGCCCAGGCCTACCTGGCTAGTCTACTTTGGTCAGAAGGGGGACCTCAACTTGTATGATGCTTGAGGGTGGACTGTGGATGATCAGATAGATATTGGACCTGTGCTTTTTTTCTGCTGCTAAAAGTATATCTTTAGCAGCTATAATTTAAAATATAGTATTTTTAAACGGCCCCATCCCAGTAATCAAAACCTGCGGGGTTAATGCAACATCTATGGAGACTCCAACGCCTCAGCATAGTTCCCAGGCACATGGGAAGTGACAACTTCACAACCCTTTCAGTTAAGTGAGTCTAGGAAGGGCGCCTGGCTTAAGAACTATTTGGGCGATGTATGGCAGTGTCATCAGCGACTCCAGAGGCTACAAAAGCTCCCCGAGGCACCTTTAAGTCCGAAGGGACCAGGGCCGTTGGTCCCCAACCTAGGCACTGGGGAGCGAAGCAAGCCGAGGTGGAAAGGCGGTGGGGCGTCGCCGGGGTCTGCAGGCCGCGAGCCAACTCGCGGATGTGGTAAAGCCTCGCGACTGGCCCAATTAAACAGGTTTCCTGTGCCTCTAGCTCCGGAGCGGCGCCTGGCCCTTCCCCGGGACAGCTTCTCTGCGCCGCATCCTCCAGCAAGTACACGCAGTCCCCTGCGCTCAGCTCCTTCTCACCGTCAATCACACAGAAGCTGTCCCTTGAGGGACAGAACACTAAGAGGCAGCACCTGGGTCCGTCCCCCCAAAGGGGGGGGGGGGCTACAGCCGACACCAAGAACGATCTCCCTGTCTCAGGTGTGTCCCACTGGATGGCTCTTACCCAGACAACAGGAAACACACTGCGGTCCTCTGGGACTGGCAGCGACCCCGAAACTGCAACGGTTCTTGTACCCGCCGCCGCCGCCGGACCCCCACCACCCTCCAGCTCCATTCAAGCAGATTCCCCACCGCTTACCTGCGCGCTCTGCAGCAGGGAACACCGCCTAGTCCCCCGGTGCCCCGCTCCAGGGTTTGCTCACAGACCAGGAAGGAGGCAAACCCAGCTCCTCAAGTCGCCCTGCAAAAAGCAGCTGACAGTTGCCGCATCAGCCTAGGAGACACGGGCGCCGACCGCCACTGAGGACTGATAGCAGGACCAAGAGCCTAGCTGCGCACTGGCCGTCTGGCGCTGAGGTCCCTTTTCCGGGGAGGTTCGCTGGCAATGAGAATACGCTACCAGTTCCCAGTACTTTGCCCAGAACTTCTAGCGCGCAGCCTGGCGATTAGTCTGAGCAGCCAGCGAGAGGCGGGAGCAAAGAGGAGGGGCCTGCGGGCAGCCCTGGGGGCGGGGCCAAGTGGGGAGGGTAGGGGACGACGGAATAACCCCCACTACAACCAATCAGGAGTCACCCCGGGAAACGAGGTGGGGCAATGCCCTGGGAAGAAGCGGGCGAATTTCGTGAAGCGTAGAGGGAGTTGGGGACCTGGACAAGTAGGAAGGGCGGAGGGCGTTGAAAGCTTTAGAGGGACGGGGCGGGGGCTCTCGCCCGCCCAGCTTGGTGCCTGCGCGTCGTAGGCGTTGTACAAATGTTGGTCGAATGTCGTTTCCGGGCAATGAAAAGAGAGAGGAATGAGGCCGATGTGGAGGCACTGGTAAAGAAGATTCCAGGGGACGTTGGAGGTCAAACACCTGATCACTTAAAGTCAGACTGAGGCAGGGAGCCAAGAATGGAAAAAAAAATACGTGATGAGAGGAGGACGGTAGGTACCGGGTGTCAAAGGACAGAATTGGTGTGGGACACTGGGCTCAGAGACTATAACCCTGCCTACAGAGGCAGTCATGCAGATTCGAACCTAGGTGCCTGGAGAGGCTTGAGGAGAGAGTGGTCGTTTGGTTGGGAGGCGGCGGGGTGCGTTACGATTGCAATTTGAAATGCAGGAGCTTCTTGATTGACCGGGAAGTCCACCCGATTTAACTGCTCCACAGCCTCCTTTGATCCCAGCTCGAATGCAAGCAACTGATAATTTGGGGTCAGTTTGCAGAGTGCAAACGCGTCAGGTGCCGCAGGTGGCGGGGTTGTCAAGGAAAATGCACTTACTGAGCGCCTGCTATGTGCTAGGAGCAGTGGTGGCCCTGCACCTGTGATAAAAGGCACACCAGGCTTCCTCCCTCAGGGATCTTACATTTTAGTGCGAAGGCAGACAATGAACAAGAGACTATGCATATATTAAAAAACAAGAAAATGCTGATGAACTATTAGCACTGGGATGAAGGCCATGTAGAGCTTTCAAAAGTGGTGATCTGTATGATGGTAGCTTTCATGCAGATTCTTGAGGTAGGAAAAGAATCTACGGCGTCCAGTCTTTGGAAGAGCATCCCAGGTACAGGGTACCTCAAGTGCAAGGTGTTTAACCTTACCATGGACCTATCCGGCCTCCTTCACAGAGCTGAGCAATGCCTGTGGCTCGCTAGGCTGGGCTCTTGACAGGTTCCAGAATACTCAGTTACCAATCTCCACCAGCACATTTCCAGTCCCCAGACTGTCGCCAAAGTAAGGTTCTGAGGCTCTTCCTGCAGCTATGCTATCTGCACTTTATTCATCATGCTTGGTTCTCCGCTTTCTGGAACCTTCGCCGTCGCGTAATGTCTGGAACTGTCTGGCCCTCTGGCAAGCGGTCTAGCACAGGGGAATCCCGAGATGTTGAGATGTTGCAGAACGGTCATGCTGCCCGCGTTGGCACACGAAGAATTAATTATGTTGGAGAAATTTTCAAATTGAATGACTCGGAAGTATCTAAAGCACTCCCCAACACCTGAGGAACACAGGTCGAAGAACGTATCTGGCTGGCATGTGAACCATTCATGCTGAATTCAAGGAGGCACGTTGCCCACCCCAGCTGCTCACATTGTGTTTTGCCAACCTTCCTTTTCTTTTCCAATAACACTCTTTTAGAAACTCGCTCAGTCCCAGTTCCCGCCCTCTTCCTCAGTCAAGCTATTTCCTTTTGCTTTTTCTTTTCCTCTCTTCACATCCACCTCCCCCATCAGCATTTCTTTTTTTTTTCTTTTTCTTTTTTTGCAGGAGACAAACCTTATGCCCAAAAGGAATTTATTTGTAGGACCTTGTTTAAACTAGCAGCCTGTTCTTGGCTTTTTCTTCAGTTTCTTTCAAATGGTGTGTGTGTGTGTGTGTGTGTGTGTGTGTGTTTCCCCCATTGGTACTTATGACAGTTAATTGGACAGGATGCAAGAGTTATTCAGGTTGTGTCTTGCCTCCAAGAAAAAAAAGGAACCTTACTGTGTCTTTTCATAATTTCATTTCTTCTTCTACTCCTAAATAAGCTTCTAGGCTCTTCAGCTCCTACAATCAAAAGGGGGAAAAAATTAAAGTTGAAACCCACGTAGAGCTAATTATTCTTGAAAAAGCTTGTTAATGTCCTAAAATTAGCTTTCTCCTCAGTTTCATTTTAAAGCAATGATCTGAATATCTACTAAAGATCAATGGTTGCATAGTAAGAGTTCTTAGAGTCCCTTCTTCTTTGAACTATTGGACAAATACTGTTTATCTTTGGAGACATTCCCACCATGGTGGGAATTTTTCACAGTTGGCTGAGCATTTTTAGCATCTGAAATCTCAAAATAGGTGAGCAGGTGTTGCTTGAGTTTCTGTGTTTTGATAGTAAAGGAAACTGATCATAATGGAGTGTAGGCCTCTAGAATCGGCCTACCTGGGATCCTATCTTTACATCATCACTATTTCCTGATTCTGAAATTACCTTTTCTACTCGTACAGTAGAGACCGCAATTGTACCTACTGGTCTACAGAGTTTGATCATCTGTCTAAAACAATTGCCACATAGCCTAGCACAGAGTTCTCAACTTAGCACTACTGACATTTTAGGCCAGATGTTTCTTTGATGTGTGATTGGCTGTCCTGTGCATTTAACCACCTCCCTGCCTCCACCCATTACTTGGAAGGAAAACCCTCTTCTCTCCAATTGTAACAACCAAAAGTCTCCAGATTTTACCAGATGTTCTCTGGCTGAGAATGTGGCACCTAGCAAAACCCACAGATTGGGAGGCAGTATAAGCAATTGCTTAAGGCTGTGGGTTTCTGGAGTATGAACTTCTGGCAAATTGTGCTTCCCTAAACCTCAGCAGTAAAATGGGAATCATAATAATGCTAGCTTCTGATAATGCTAATTGTCTAGGAGTAAAAACACTTGTGTAAAAACCATTTGCTTGGTGCCTGGCACATGGTAAGCTCAGAACATGAGCTTCTTGTCTCGTTTTCTTCCCGAGAAGAGAAGGCATTGAGCTAGATGAGGAATGGCATATTTTGACTTATTTGCTGCTGCTCCTTTCCCTGCCTCATGGAAGACAACATTATTAAGTCAAGGCCGACCTTCTCACTAAGTTCAGATAGGGCCTTTGAATCCTTCTCAACACAGTGCTCCAGGAAGCCACTACTGATAGATAAGAGTCAGCATGTAAGAGGATGCTGCATTGCTATCCCAGAGCTAGAGGATTTTCAGATCTCTAATACTTTCAATTTTCTGGAATAGCGATTTTACATGTAAGAAGGAACTATAGTCATCACCTCATCAACCCCTTTTACAGAGGAGTAGGGGACCAAGGCCCAGGGAGTTCCAACATATTGACCATAATCATACAACCCTGAGGCTGGCTCTCCTACAGTCTTAAGCGGTCCTCTTTTTGCCATGTCTGGAGCAGTGATGTCACCTCTCCCCATGCTGTACACTCCTACTCATCTCCCTCCTTCACTGTATCTAGAAAAATGAATCAAAGCATTTCATTGCACAGGAATACCTTGGAAGCAGTCTTCCAAAAGTGTTAGTAAGCTCACGACAAGAACTGCACAAGAACTCATCAATTCCTTGATTAAATATAGATTGACTACCACCTTTGTATAAGCAACCATTCTTAGCAGGCACGTCAAGAGATCAAAAGGTGAATCAGTGGGTGTTCCTGCCCTCGTTGCTTTTATAGTTTCATCTTTGGGGCAGATCAAACATGGATATAAATAACTATAATACAAGTTTTTTAAAAATGGAAAATGTCCTAAGAAAGGTACCAAAAATGTGTTCAGAGAAGGGAGAAATTATTTTGAGAACTAGGAACCAAGAGTCACTTCCTCCATGTCTTTGTTGACATTTTTAACTTTTGATCAAAAATTCATATTTATTACAGTAAAGTTGTCCTTGTTGAGGAAGTTGCCACATTGTTAGGTTTCCTGGTTCACAACCACTATCGGTGAACCTACAGGTCACAGTTCATTCTAATTCTAAATGAGTCATTTTTGTCAATGTTTAAAATTGCTGGGATGTTCTAGATTGCTTTAGAAACAATAGGATAGCTTTCACCAAACCATTAGACAGAACCAGTTTTTTAAGCATGTTGTACTCCAGTAGCATACTTGTAAAAACAAACAGCACAGGCAGAGGAATATCATGTCACATACATTAAACCATGAGATAGCATTTTCTTCAGGACCAAACTACCTTAAGAGTCAGGCTAACACTTAATTATCTTTAAGTACTAACTCTAAAGCACATGCACATTCTATACTATTACCTGCTATAAATACTAAGTATAATAAGAGCCCACATGTAGAAAGCTAGGCCACTGTCAAGTTAGGCTGCTGAGATTGCTACTGCTATCAGGAGTCTGCCTGTAAAATCAGAAAGATTTGGTAGAACTGCATACCCCTCTGTTACAAGCCACACCAGCAAAATATACACCCCGAAGCCTCTTGCTCTCCCTTATTACCTCATTTCCAAATTCATGTTTTGCACGAATGCCTCTGATTGGTGTGCTCCAAACCACATCTGCAAATCTATCTGCAAGGAAGGCTAGGAAATGCTCTTCTTATCTTCCCAGCCCTTGTGCTATGTGAAGACACATTAGAGGGAAGTTGGATTAGAAGTTGAGTGAGCCAAGCCACAGCACCCACTGTGTCTTTTCCTCCAAGTCTTCAACAAATACGCTGGCAGAAAAAGGTTATATATTTTACATCTGCTGTTTTACTCAGCTTTTTCCCTGCTGTGACTAAAGGACATGACCAGAACAACTGTAGAGGAGGAAAAGTTTATTTGGGGGCTCAAGACTTCAGAGATCTCAGTCCGTAGACAGCTGGCTCCATTCCTCAGGGCTCAAGGTGAAGCAGGACATCATGGTGGAAGAGTGTGGCAGAGGGAAGCAGCTCACATAATGATCAGGAAGGAGGGGGCGGGGAGAGAGAGAGAAGAAAGAGAGATCTCCACTTACCAGATACAAATATATACCTCAAAGCCACACCATGCTCCCTGCCTCACCTCCTCCAGCCACCCCCAACCTGCCTTCAGTTACCACTCAATCCCATCAAGTGATTAATTCACTGATTTGGTTAAGGCTCTCATAACCCAATCATTTCTCTTCCAAACTTTCTTGCATTGTCTCACACATGAGCTTTTGGGGGATACCTCAACAAACCATAACATCCACTTTAGTGTGTTTCAATTTGTAGAGATTAACTCAGAAGACCTAGTTCTTCATGAATCCCTCCAAGTTCCCATCTCTCATACCCACAAGAGCTACCATGCTGATCCAACCACCATTTCTTGCCTGGAAAACTGTAAAAGACCAGGAATTACTTTTGCCCTTCTATAAGCCATTCTGTACTCTGAAGTCAAGTGATTTTTTTAAAAACCTGAATCTGATAATGAAACCTTTCACAGTTTCTCATTGCTCATAAGATATAGACAAGACTATTGACATGGTTCTCAAGATTCTACAAGCCCTGGCATCTACCAGCTTCAGCTTGTGCCTTGTAACCCTTCCTCTCCACATCACCTGCCTCTAGAACTTTGTTCTGTCCTGACCCAGGGCCCTAGCACATGCTGTTCCCTTTCCCTTCCCTGAATGTGCTGTTCCTTTCTCTTCATTCAGTTGATGCTGGCTCATCTTCTAAGTCTCATTCAGCCATCCCTTCCTTAGGGAAGTCATCCTTGACTTTCATGATCAGGCCTATCGAAATTATTGCCCTGGTTGAAATGTTTTGGTTTTTTTTTTTTTTTTTTTGGGCGGGGGGGGGAGCAAAATTTAATAGACCTACCAGAGTTATATTCTGTTTTTGTGATTTTTCTGATTAATTTCTGTCTCCTAACTGGATTTATAGGCATTACAAGTTGGAAGATTATATATGCTTTTAGTCTTCCAATATCCATCTCAATATCTAGCAGCTAGTGAGCCTTCATATATTGGTTGAAGAAAAAAAGAAAGAAAAGATAAAAGAATCCCAAAGAATGAACTTTGATGGTAGCTGGGGTGGGGAGTTAGAGGTGGGTGCTCATGCCAGGCCCAGTGGGCGTGACTACTCAGTGGCCAGGTCCTAGAGATGATCTTATAATAACTTTACATCAGATAGGTGCTATCTCCTTTATGGTCACCATGGCCACAGTTAACTAACTTTTGTCTTTTTTGCACTTCAACATTTTTCCCTATTCCCTAGAAGGCAAACTTCAACTCTGCCAAACATCAAAAGACACTTGAGAAGTAAGCTTTGTTTGGCTGCTTCTACCCTGCTATAGCCCAGTTCCTATCAACCTTTTCCTATGTAAAATGAAAACTAGAAATCCTCCCTGGTTATACATATTTTGCTTTTTTTTTTTCAGTGGGTTTCACCTTTGTGTTAAGCTCTTCATTTCTCCATAGAGTTGATAGGACTTATATCTTATGGTTTCATTAAAAAAAAAAAGTGTGTATTCCTTGACACTTCTTACTGACCTACAATTCCCTACTGATCCACAGCAATGGGAATATCACACCCAGAGGAAATTAGCACTTTGGGGAAGAAACTGCACCTGTCTTGCTTGGCTTTTACGGACTGTTAAAGTAATGAAGAGAATTTTTGGAACTGAAAATAAACTTGTCTGTGAAGACAATATACTCAATATGAGGCATACCAATACCAACAGTCCTTTCTTTACCTCTCAAATGAATACAAGTTGCAGGTACAATGAAATGGGGGAAGAAAGTCTGATTCCAGTGTTTGCTTTACATCAGTATTTCTTGCAAAAACAACTTTATGACAAAATAATAACAGCAAAACAAAAATAATAGAAATTCAAGGAAATGAAGCTGCTTATCACCTTAACTATGAAAAAATCTTTTTGTTTTTATTATTCAAGTTTCCTTCTAACATTTTTTCATGCAGTTGTAATTAGGGACCATACACGAATGCTATTTTTGATATGATATTGTATATGCTTTCCTAATTGATGTTCTATAACTATGAACAGAATATCATGAATTCATTAATATGATCATCGTAAAGACTGTGAAAAACCCTGAAAACATGTATGATATCAATTAAACTTGTATCATCATGGAAATAACTGAACTTTGAATACAAAGAGCTGGATTTAAATCTACCTTTTCCATTTAGTAGTTCTTTCTTCTTAGGCAAGTAACTTGAACTTGCTAGATTTTTGCTTCATAGCTCATAGTAGCTGCCTCATAATTATTAAAGGAATTGAAAGTCATAATGTGATCAGCTGAGTCAGGTTCCCAAGGAAAGGAAAATATTTATATAAATTTATTTTTTTAAATAATTCCCCTTTCAATAAGCCTTCCTTTCTCCAAAAAAAACTAACTGATCTCTATTTTAATCATGTTACAATGAAGCATCTATTTTCCCAAAGACAGATTTATTCTGTTAGAATATTCAGCATGTCTACAAGTCTGAAAATTGGCTTCCTCAAGCTTTGCACTAGTGGAAGTAGCTATAGTGATGTTGGAGCCTATCACTCTCCCCCATCCTCTCCCACATTACAGAGCCACATTTCTAAGGGACGTGTATAATAATTATACACTGAGCTAATAAGAGTCTGAAAACTTGCTTCTTTATCTCATAAGCTTAAATCACTTCTTCCTCAATTAGGATGGTATCTGAGCAACCACTTTCCAACTAAGAGTAAACAGGAAATCATAACATGACCACATGCTGAAGGAGCCTTAGCTCTGGGAACACTCTGCACTGGACCATTTGTGTCTACCAGTTTATGCCTAGAGTGCTCCTGAACCATAAGTAGGTGTTACTTTAAGAATTGAGGCCAGCTACCTCTGATAGCTATACTCCTTTCAGGATGAGAAGCAGACCCAAAACACCTGGATCTTACAAGCTCCATCCTGGTTGCTTCCGGAAGCTCAGTCTGTCTTGGCGGGTATTGGCATTTTGTATCAACTGTTCTATATATGAATGGGTGGGCTGTGGTGGCACACACCTGTAATCCCAGCAATTCAGGAGGCTGAAGCAGGAGGATTGGAAGTTCAAATCCAACCTCACTAGGATGTGGGGAAAAAGGCACACTCATTCATTACTGGTGGGACTGCACATTGATGCAACCACTCTGGAAAGCAGTATGGAGATTCCTCAGGAAACTTGGAATGGAACCACCGTTTGACCCAGTTATCTCACTCCTTGGCATATTCCCAAAGGACTTAAAATCAGCATACTATAGTGACATAGCCACATCAGTGTTTATAGCAGCTCAATTTATAATAGCTAAGCTATGGAACCAACCTAGGTGTTCTTAAACAGATGAACGGATAAAGAAAATATGTACATATATGCAATGGAATATTACTCAGCCTTAAAGAAAAATGAAATTATGGCATTTGCTGATAAATGGATTGAACTGGAGACTATCATGCTAAGTGAAATAAGCCAATCCCCCCCAAAAAAAACCAAAGGCAGAATGTTTTCTCTGATATAGGGATGCTGACTCACAATAGGTGGGGGAGAGGGAGGAGTAGAGGTTCTCCAGATTGGACAGGGGCAATTGGGGGGGGGGATGGGAAAGACAGTAGAATGAATTGGATATAACATTCCTATGTTCATATATGAATATGCAACCTTTGTAACTCCATACCATGTACCACCACAAAAATGGGAAGTTACACTCCATGTATGTATGATATGTCTAAATACATTCTACTGTCATGTATAACTAAAAAGAATGACAACAAAAAGCTAACCACAGCAATTTAATGAGACCCTAAGCAACTTAGCCAGACCCTGTCTCAAAATAAAAAATAAAAAGCACTGAGGATGTGGCTCAGTGGTTCAGTGCACCTGGGTTCAATGTACAGTACCCCCCCCCAAATTAAATAAATAAATAAATAAATGAGAATGGGCATGTGCCCCAATTCTGGACAGTGAAACATGATGATTTCTCTGCTGGGGGCTTTTGAATAACTTATATCTTTAATAACCTAAACTCAGAGTAATGTTTGTAATAAAAAATGTTTTTATATTACAGCAACATTATATTGTGGTATCTCATATGATTTAAGATGACTCATTTATTTGCAAACTCATTTTATATCCCATCTGGATTATAAGTTCTTTTTCTATTTTATTATTTTTCTTGGATGTCTTTCCTTGACATAAAAGACATTCCATAAATTATTTGTTGAACATATGCACAAGTATACTTTCCTCAAAACTACTATCTAAATTCACTTGACAGGTAGTAGAATCACATTTTCCTTGTCTGCTAGGATACTTTGACAGTAAGTAAGAGAAATTTAATAAAAAACCACTTAAACAAGAGACAATGCTATGTCACACACCAAGTCTGGAGATCCAGTGACTTCAGCATTGGTTTATTCGGTGGCTCAAACATGTCAGCAAGAGACTGAGATTCTGACTTCCTGCTCTGCTCAGTTCACTGTGAGAGCTCCTCCTCAGTCTGAATTGGATACAGATGAAACAGTTACAAAGATACATGTCCAGAAAACTATCATACGAGAGGCACAAAGCAACCCCCTTTCTTGAATCCTTTCTATAAGTTTGGCAGCTCTCCCAGAAGCCCCCACCCTGGTCATCATCGTGTTTTATTGGTCAGAATTGGTCACATGAACATTCATACTTAACGGCCATCTTGGGCCAAGATGAAATTGCTGCCATGACTGATTCAGATTGGAGGGTTCATGTCTGGAAAACAAAACAAAAATGAAAAACCTAAAATTTGGTTTGCAAATGTAGACAGTGGGGGGACTAGCGAACGCTCAGCCTAAACCTCCTTTGTACAAATGCTTCACACCACTCTGAGCACTGAAGGAATTGTGGAATCCCTCCCTACATCTCCATTCCCAGATGCCAGTCAAGCCAGACTTTCTAACGATGGGAGTCTTAGGTGGGCCACTCTTTTCTGCATATCTTCTCTATACTTGAAAAACGCTTGTCTACACATTAACCCTCTTGATCAATAAACTCATTCTTCCCTTGCCAACAGCAGCTGAGCACATGTATTTTCAAGGATGTCTTTATGGTCTTGGCTGTGTATTCATGGCAGAACTCACAGGGCTTCTTTCAGGAAAATGTTTTGATAGGAAATATTTACTTAGCCTGAGGGAGCAGGTGTAGAAAACTTCCTAGGGCTGCTCAAAGTATGCCCAAGACACGAGAAATGATTTGGATGTGGTTCTGCAAGAGTTCATGTATTGGAAGTTAAGTTGCTAGTGTTGCAATGTAAAGAGGAGTGGGAGCTTTAAGACTGGGAGTCTTGTAAGAGGTCCTTAGGCCACTGGGAATTTGTCCAAGGAAGAGATTATTGCACTTCTCATGGGACCCCAGTTAATCCTGTGTCTCACTCTCTGGCTTCCAGTCTTGACATGTTATCACTCCCTCTCACGTGTCCTTCCACATTTGTCATGATGTGATGCAGCCAGGGAGGTCTTTGCCACAGACCTATTTGGACTCTCAGGCTTCAAAACTGTGAGCCAAACTTCTTTACTTTATGAAGTACCCAGCCTCAGGTATTTCACTGCAGTAATGGAAAATAAATTAAATGCAACATGTCAGTGAGAGCTTGGCTTGGTCAAACCAAACAATAATGACTCCATATATTCACTGTTTTTTGTTTAAAAAAAATTTAAACATTTTATATAATATATCAAAAAGTTGTCTCTCTAACATGTAGTCAAATAAAATATCCTGATTAGCCACTATTTATTTTTGATACTAAAACTTTGAAATGCAGTGTGTATTTTTCATTTACAGTGCAATGTCACTAGGACTAACTCACTAGTGCTCACTAGTCTGTTTGCTACCATATAGGTCAATACAGAATATCCACTGTTTTTTAAAGGAGCCCTACTCTTCAACAGTGTATATTATTTTGATACTCATCTCTTTTCATTTACCTGTCTCCCCGTAACTGTCACTATCATCATGAAATATAAATCAAAGGGGTCATGTTTTTAAGCACTTTCTCATATTTTAATAATTAGCAAGAAAATAAGTTCATTGTTGCTTTTGCTGCTGGGGGAGAGACCACGTTTGTATTTAATGTTCATATTGGAGAAATGGAGATTCCATATTGTCGGCAAACATACAACACAGTGACATGGCAGGGATGTTGGCCATATTGGCACAGAAGGTATTGTCCCTGATTTGGAAAATGGACACCTTGTAGGGGAGTAAGTAGAAAGAAAGCAAAGTGAGGATCACGGAAAGACCGAAAGATCAAAAGAGGGTAACTACATAACCAAAGACAATATTTATTGACTTCACAGGTTTAATTGATTTCTGGTAATAATAGATGACTGCTATTTTAAAACATGAAAAAAAAACTTGTTTACATTTTGTGTTAGTCAGCTTTGCCTCTCTGTGACCAAAATACCTGGCAAGAACAACTTAAGGGAAAAAAGTTTAGTTGGGGCTCAAGGATTCAGAGGTTCAGCCCATAGCTGGCCCACTCCATTGCTCTGGGCCCAAGATGAGGCAGGACATCATGCCCTCAACTAAGGTGGACTGGTTAGGTTACAGTTCTCACAACCCAATCATTTCACCTCCAAACATTCCTGCATAACACAGGAGCTTTTGGGGGAACACCTCATAGATAAACTATGATACATTATTTTTGAAAAAAAAATATCTTTTGATACTGGGAATTGAACCCAGAGACTTATGCATGCTAATCATGAACTCTACCACTGAGCTACAACCCAGATCTTAAATTTCTTTTAGAAAATTGAGAGATCATATAGTATAGATGAATGATAACACAATATAGTGGAATGACCATGAACTTTGGAACCCAAAAGACCTAGATTAAAAGAAAAAAAAAAGTGTTTCTCCACCTGAGGAAAAGGACCATTTTTGATCCCCAGGAACACTGGTCCAATGTCTGAAGATATTTTTGGTTTAAAAACTGGTGGCGGGGGGACTGCAAATTGTTTCAGCCACTATGGTAGGCAGTATGGAGATTCCACAGAAAACTTGGAATAGAACCATCATTTAACTCAGTTATCCCACTCTTAGGTTTATACCCAAAAGACTTAAAATCAGCATATTACAATGATGCAGCCACATCAATGTTTATAGCAGCTCAATTCACAAATAGCTAAACTATAGAACCAAACC